GTGGATAAACAAGCAGAACCTTGGCTGGAGTTTAAAGCTGGTGAATATCAACAACATACACAAAGTACGACTGCACACAGAAACCTCCAAAGTTGTTCCAGACTCCTCCCATATATCACACACCAGGATTAACCCTACAGCACCAGTAAAAATACGCTTCATGATCCTTAAGTACTAGGTGTTTGTGTGTGTGTGTGTGGGGCAGCAAGTTAACACCCCCCCCCCCCCCCCCCCCCAAAAAAAAAAAAACACTGTGGTTTTTAGAGAGTAGTACACGAGTCATACTGTGAAAGAGACTGGAATAGTGCATTATTCCTAAAGACAACAGTAACCTGCAGTAAATTTTCCATTATAGAGACAGCAGACAATTTTTATTATTCAAGAATCCCACATGGTAAGTAAGTTATTTTACAAACTTGAAAACTTGACTAAGCCTTTTGCCTACTTTTTCTTCTCCTTTATTGTGAACTGCATAAAGGACTTTCAATACGTGCAACATGCACAAAGTTATCCAGGCTCTTTTGCTTCTCTCTGAGAAGATATATGCTTATCTCTTCTTCTTAGCGTTGGCTGGCTGAAAACTCAGGCTGTTCATCCACTTCTGGACTTTGATCTTGCTTCAGAACTTGAGTTTTGCATGAGTATTTTATTTGATTGGCAGATGCACTGCAACTATTAAAGAAACAAATCCGATTATATTACCTTTTATTAGGTATCAGGTTGTCCTGACAAAAAAGTAAATAATTAGGAGTGTTTCCTTCAAAGCAGGCAAGCATCTGCCAAACAAACAAGACAAATATGTAAACAGGATGTGCATGTAAAAAACTTAGTTTTGCTTGGGCGGGGGTCGGAGGGAGGGAACAGGAAATCTAAATGAGGCCCTGGAACTGGGAATCTCAACAAGAGCAAAGAAAAAAACAACGCACAGAAAGAATCGGATGTCTGAGATGAAGCGTATACTGACGAGCCGCATAAGAAATGGTGTCTAGGATTTCAAGTCTTCTTGTTGTGCCTCTTTGCCGACAGTCTTCAGCTGAAAGGTCAGAATATTCCTGCACATTCCCCCCCCCCCCCCCCCCCCTTCTGCCTTGTTAAGTTCATGTTCATAGAAGTCATTTATTATAAAACAGTCATGGAGAAATACAGCCTAGGATGGAAAAGATCGATACCTCCCCATCCCAGCCCCTGTGTACTAACACTCAGTTTAGCATTAAAAGGCAATAACTTATTCAGCAGTTGTGATGACATTAACTGCTAGCAACAGCTTTTAGTGCAATCAAAACAGGATCAATCACTGCAGGCACAATGCAGAAACCTGAGATAAATGAATTATCTCTCTTATATCTTGATTTGGTGATCAATAAGCTTGGCAACCAATGGCCTCAACCTCTAGTAGTATTTTAAGGGCAACAAATATAATCAAATTTGATGTGTTTTATCCCAGGGTTTTGGCTTAACTCCAGTAGTTCTGCTTGATCCCTGTGTGCTTGCTTCATGGTTCTCTGGCAGGTCAATATATTTTCATTACCATCAGTCATCTGAAGTTCATCCAAAGCCTGGTGGAACTAGAAACCTCTAGACAGAGATGTCAATTTTTCCTCAGGGATTTGAAATGGTGCAGTACTTGAAAAGACAATGACTGGTATTCAAAGGTCTCAAAAAATGTTTGCACAAGATGCATGTTTGGAGTCAAGCCAATTTAAATTACCATTAACACTGGAATGTCTTTGTAACTGAAAAAATATTTGACTCCATTTCTTAGGCAGACCATGGACACTGTCACAAGCTTTTATAGTTAAGGATTTCATGAAAAACAGTTGGACAAGTCAGCCCATTTGCCCGCCCAGTCAGCTTCCATAGTGATGTTTCCCAGAATATGTGTATGTTCTCCAGCTGCAGTTCTGTAGCTCTCATTTTAGCGAGTCTGACTGCTTTTTTATTTCCCAGGAGGCTGCTAACTGGGAATCAACTGCCAGGGATACTCTGATGAGTAATAATGAAACCAAAGGGACAGGAGAGAACTATAACTGCCAACTAAGATAACAGCTGGCTCTTCACATGGCAGAAATAAGATGCTGTGCAGATAAAACCGCAAAGAGTATGGATCACTGATTAACTTTTCACCTAGAAAAAGACTCCAGAACTGGTTACCAGGATGTTAGACGTATGCATGAATAAGGAAAGGCGGGAAATATTTGATTACAATTTTAAGATTGTAAGAGAAAAAAAGTGGAACGCATCAGGCAAAGAGCTGCTAAACTGGTGAAACAGTTCTACAGAGAACAAACAAGCAGAGAAAGCACTCACAGTGAGAAGTCAAGAGTTTTAGAACAATAACATTTAGAACCTTAAGAACAAAAAAGAAAGTAAACATGGATGTGATCTAGCGTCACACATAACCAACCCTAAGGAATCACAAATTTCACTGAAAGAAAATGAATAGAAAACCTGAAAATAAGGAGGCAAAAGAAATAGATACACACGGAGATGACAGATAAGAACAGACGATAAAAAAAAATAAGGGGAGAAGCTGCAGATTTTGACAAAAGATATGAGGATCTCGTATAAGTTGGTAAAAAGCCTCAGCTACCTTTGGGGATAAACAGCAACATAAGAAAATGGTGCACTCAAGTTGTTTCTGTCACCCTACACCTTTTATGCTGATAAGTGTTCTAAAATTCTGTAGCTACAAAAACATCAAGCTCTTAAGGAAATTAAGTGTGCCCTCGAGACCAGTGGCTCTCAACCTTCCTAATGCTACGACCCTTTAATAAAGTTCCTTCATGTTGTGGGGACACTTAAACAATTATGTTTTCCTTCGTCACTTCAATGAATATGTGTTTTCCTATGGTCTTAGGCAACCCATGCGAAAGGGTCAAGAAAAATGTTTAAGACATTAGATTTCATTTGTTAATTGTTCTTAATAGCAAATGTCAAATTAGGCCAGGTTAATGTATACTAGAGGTAAACATTTATCACACATGTGTATCAGGTGAAGACTTCTTATAGCTGAAGATCACATTTTCAAGAAAATGTTATTTATATGTCGTTTAATAAAGAATCGAACAGACGCACATTTTTTTAACAGACGGAAGATTCAAAGACAAAGTCTTTGAATTTTTGAAGAAACATTTGATGGAAAACAATATGAACAATATAGTATTTTGGCCATGGCACTATAACAGTGATTTCCTGGGGAGTGGGATGATTAAATGCCTTGGTGTACCAACAGTTAGTTGCAGATTCTTTACAGCATGTTGCAGAACCAACCCCAGCATTTTTTTTTGGCTGTTGTGGTTTTTCTAGGCAAATTTACATCCAGTAGTTTGCCACTGCTTTCTGGGTGGACAGCTTCGCAGTACCACTGTCGAAATTAACGTAAGGCGCAATGCCCACAGTTGGGATTGAACCTGGAACTCCGGCATTACGAAACGCCTTCGCAACGCCTAAGCCACAGATGCCAACCTTGGTGTACCAATGCAACAAATATCCAGACAGACAGACAGACACAGAGGATATGTGGGAGAAGTAATGTGTGACAAAGTTCATTACTGGTAACCTTTAGACTTATTGTGTGGGAATTAACATATTAAGACGTTTTTTGTTGCTTTATTTACTGAAACAACCATATATATTGTCAATGAAAACAAACACATGTGAACAATGTCAAAGATAAACCAATAACACCAATGTACACTGTCAAAGAACAAACAAATGAGTACATTTTTAAAGAGACCAAATACCTGTGTACAATGTCAAAAATAAACCAATGTAAACACACATTTTCACAGACAGCAAAATATACTGCATGCACTAATGAAAAGACTTCAAGTTGAATGAGATGACAGCAAAGAGATTTAAAAAAAAATTTGTGTTCCTTTCATTCAGAAAACATGTTGGTGGAGCTTTCACTAGTTCAAACGATGACAGTTATTACACTTTATTCACCACACGACCAGATTCTGACACAACTAGACATAATAAGCACACACCAAATGTCAAACAAATTTTGATGGAAATGACATTCACATTTAAAAAAAAACCAATGAACAGCACATTTCATTGTTCTATAAACATAACAGTAAACATATGTGGTTTCTGCAATTTTAAAAAAAAAAAGCCGGGGATCTTTCTTTCTGCGATTTTTACAACTAAAAAACATTCTAAACCACTCATGTTCAGTATAAAACAGCAAAAATTAACTGGCATTTAATTATATTGCCAGACTGGGTTACTAGGCCTTTGTAAGGAATTCACTTGTATGAAATAGCTTTTCAAGCTAAAGTCAAAACAGTTTAGTGAAACTCCATTTCATAACAAACAAAAATAATTCACGGTAATCAAGTACAAGAAGTTACGCCCACAAACTAAAGCACCATGAAATAAATTGTATTCATGAAGTGAAAAGCAAATCAGTTTCAATATAATTAATGGCAACAATAATGCTGTAGTTCTGTAAGCAGAAGCCAGATTATATGCATGACAAATAGAGGAGAAACATTTGTGGAACAAAATACATATAATCAGTTAAGGCTTACAGAACCTGAATGCAATAAACTCTAAATATTCAGAGTTTATTACCATACCACAAGTTAATCACACTTCTGCTGCAAAAGAAAGAGCTAGATTTCGTGTTTCAAATGTATAAAAACTAAACTGTGTGCCATCTTCACAATAAAGGTTGGCTGCATTGTATCTCTATTGTTTTGGGGGAATATTAGGTAGTGAGGCCCCAAACTTTCACTGACTGTGAGACTTCTATATCACAGTCAGAAAATCATTGTATTTTAAAAAACAGAAAATGTTCAAAAAAACGTATAAATCAAACAAAACAACCACATCTGAAACTCCCACATTGGTTAATACATGAACAAAGAAAAGTAATTAGCCCTTGAATTATGGGTTTAAAAAAAAAAAGGCAAGAGGGTGAACAAAACTAGGGAAAAAAGTGGCCATTTCACTGATCTATAAGCCTGGTATAGGAAAACTGTCAATCTCACCCTGCGGCAGTGGGTAGCCAACCATCCCTTGACCCTGTCCACTGAACTGTTGTTGCTGTGCCGGCTGCACCTGTATACCTGTGTACTGGTTCATGGGGACATTCATGCTGCTGTAGGCAACCACGCATGCATTGGTTGATATAGGCAGTGGGAGGGAAAGAAGATTGGGGGAAAGAGAGAAGAGAAAATTAGTGTACATGATTAATCTCAGCAAATATATAAATAATGTGAAGAGGTTATAATAATGTCTCTATATTTTGGAAACAAAGTGCAAGAACATATAGATGACACAATATGGATACAAGTGCAGACTACTGATATGTCCGGTATGTCACTGACGATTAAGGATATGTCACTGATGATCAAGAATATGTCACTGATGATTAAGAAGATGTCACTAGCCTGAAACAGTCTGGATATAATGAAAAACACAATCTGTATGACATGTATTTCACCAAAAATCATGTCCCTATTTCAGTGAATTATTCCAGATGACATATAGCTCACTAGTACCTAGATGACACACCGCTCACCAGATATAAACCTAGATGACACACAGCTCACAAAATATAAACCTAGTGACACAATCCACTAGATATAAACCTACATGACACATAGCTCATGAGATATAAACCTACATGATGCACAGCTCACTAGATATAAATCTAGATGACACATAGCTCACTAAATATCAACCGACTTTGACCCATACTTTCATAAATATCAACCTAAAGGACACATAACTGACTAAAAATAAATCTAGATGACACACACCTTCCTAAATATCAAAACCAGATGATACACGCCTTCCTAAATATCAAAACCAGATGATACACGCCTTTCTAAATATCAAAACCAGAGGATACACACCTTCCTAAATATCAAAACCAGATGATACACACCTTCCTAAATATCAAAACCAGATGATACACACCTTCCTAAATATCAACTCAGACAACATACACCCCATTAAGTATCGACCTAGATGATACATATTTTACAAAATATCAATCAAGATGACACACGCTAATTATCAACTCAGACGACATATACCTTCCTAAATATCAACTTAGATGACATACACTTTACTAAAAAAATCAATCAGAATGTCAAATATTTCAATAAAAATGCTTGTGTATGCCACAAAGCCAAACTTGTTTAAAAATCCTTCAAGTTTAACCCTACATCTTTTTTCACATCCAAATTGTCTGCTGTTACATTTTACACCAATTTTCTACTTTCCAAGTGTCCAAAGAAAGTGACAAATCTATTAAAGTGTGGGAAATTAGTCAACTTCATGTGAGAAATTTTTGGCAAAACATCATTATATTTAACAACCATATCCAAGGTGTGTAATCATTGTCCTTGAAAAAAAAAAAAAACATCTTTACAGATTCTAGATGATTATTCTCTATCTGCTGATTATCTGGATGGGCTCTGTACAGCTCTTTTAACACTTTCAGTCCCATGAAGTTTAGCAACAAAAATCCTGATTTTTTCCATCAAATATTGCCATGAAAATTCTAACCACTTAAAAAACTTAAATACAAGAAGACACTTGATGTGATGTTTGAGAATGTAGGGAATAGTCAGTAACCGATTGTCTTTGTTTGAGACTAAAAGAGTTTAAAACATTTCCACATACAAAGATATACTGCACAGAATATTCTTCTATCAGTGGAATTCTGCTTTTTCTTGGGCCACTCTACAATTCAACTTCTCAAATACACATTCCTCTGCAGTTATTGGAGTAAACAAGCCTTTGAAGACACTGACTTACTTTGATGTTGTATACAGAAAGACATTTTTTTTTTTCTTTTCATCATCATTACTTCTGTTTTCTTCCACTGTTTAAATTAAGACTGAAGTCATTAAGCTATAACAGAAAATGACAACCCACATGCCTGGTCTTCTTTTTTACTTCTGTGCTTCAAATGTTCAAATTAAGACCTAAAAATCAAACCTACGGTTAGAAAATTATGTATTACCCATATGCCTGGTAGCTGGAATAAGCAGGCCACTGTGCTGGAGCCGCAGGAATGTATGGGGCAGCTTGGGCAGGAACTGTGCCTTGGTAGGCAGGTGCAGTTGTGGCATAAGGAGCTCCCTGATAATAGCCCATATTATAGAACTGCCCGTATGCTCCCGTGGCTGGCGTAGCTGCTATAGGTTGCTGTGCTTGGGACTGTAACATAACAACTGGAGGCTGCAGACAGAGACAGACATGACAATGTAAATACTAAGGGTGGGTTACAGTCAACTGTTGTTTTTTTCCCTTTCTATTTCATTATATATACACACACTGTCCAGGTAAGGGATATTTTCTGTTTTAAAAACTTCTTTTCCGTCTCTTTTAATGATCAGTGGTGCACACTAAAGTAATCAACACTCAGAGCCAAAATGAAAGTGTTCAGATTGAAGGAGTCATCAATGATGGCCAGAATGCAAGAATTCAGACTGAAGGAATCAACATAGCCAGAATGCAAGAATTCAGACTGAAGGAATCAACATAGCCAGAATGCAAGAATTCAGACTGAAGGAATCAACATAGCCAGAAGGCAAGAATTCAGACTGAAGGAATCAACATAGCCAGAAGGCAAGAATTCAGTCTGAAGTAATCAACATAGTCAGAATGCATGAATTCAAACTGAAGGAATCAACATAGCTAGAATGCAAGAAATCAGACTGAAGGAATCAACATAGCCATAATGCAAAAATTCAGACTGAAGGAATCTACATAGCCAGAATGCAAGAATTCAGACTGAAGGAATCATCATAGCCAGAATGGAAGAATTCAGACTGAAGGAATCTACATAGCCAGAATGCAAATATTCAGACTGAAGGAATCTACATAGCCAGAATGCAAGAATTCAGACTGAAGGAATCATCATAGCCAGAATGCAAGAATTCAGAGTGAAGGAATCAACATAGCCAGAATGCAAGAATTCAGACTGAAGGATTAACATAGTCAGAATGCATGAATTTAGACTGAAGGAATCAATATAGCCAGAATGCAAGAATTCAGACTGAAGGAATCTACATAGCCAGAATGCAAATATTCAGATGAAGGAATCATCATAGCCAGAATGCAAGAATTCAGACTGAAGGAATCAATATAGCCAGAATGCAAGAATTCAGACTGAAGACTAAAATAATCAATAATGATAGCCGGAAAGTAGGAATTAGGAATTTAGACCGGAGACCAACATTTCCAGAAAAATAGTAGAACAAGCAGAAAAGTACTTCTGCCAATCAACATCTAATTAGCACAGTGAGTACAGCAATCATTGTGTACACTGAGGAGTTTAGAGCTCTATGATCTGTACACTGTGGCTGAACAGACTACAAGTTATCTAATCAATATATTCAATGGTGATAACTAAAGCTGAACAACAGGGAAGATACTTCAATGAATCGCCAGTCACATTCTGTGTGTTTGTGCACTGGTGTGTGCAGACACTAGTCACCCAAGCATCATGCCATGTGTGACTAGCTATTCCTCATGTGAACCCATCAGTGTGTCATGCGTGATTGTATTTCATATGTTCAACCATAGTAGATGTTCACGAAATATGACCATGTATTATATTTTAAAAGCCAGGTACAACTCAGTATACTGTGCAAGTCACTTTGCTTGCCATTTTGTTGTTTTTCCCATAAGTCTCAGTGATACAGTGAATGTATTCCATTGAATGCTTCATCCTGTTTGTCTTTATTGATTATTACCTTCATACCTCTTTATAAATAACATTTTTAATGAATTTATTAGTGACCTAGGTAAAAAAAGAATAAAATAAAAACAATTTTAAAGATTTTTTCTGGAATTCCACCAGGGTCATGACTCATTTTGTTTAGAGTGCTCCCAGAGCGAGAGGGTTAAAAATCCAGTAAATTAACTTCAGTGCACAGGGTTTTACTGCATAAGGTTTGGTCTCTCTCTCTCTGCAGAACTGCTAGTCACTTGTTGGCAGAGCCAAGTACAAAGTATGACCTTCCTACCTTCACCAAAATCTCTGGGAAAATCAGAAATAAATTACCGAAACAGAAAGATGCAATCCGGGATATTAATCCATGACATTCACAGTACTAGGCAAACACATTACCCACTTAGCCATGGAGAGCCCCAAAAGAAAGAGACAACACAAGAGGCAGTACTCACACTGTTAGATGCTGACTGCTGGCTGGATGGATTGGAGTCGTTAGATTCCTTCCCCCAAGAACATTTGACTGGCTGGTCATTGATTGTAGTACCATGGACAGCACAGATGGCCTGTGTAGCAGCTTCCTTTGAGTTGAACCTGTAATCCAGACAGACACAGTGAGCACTGGTTACTGGAAATTATCACATCAACAAGCTTCTTTAATTAGGTAATGCAGTGTCCTGAAACAGGTCTACTCTTATTCTAGAATACAGCATTAGGTGATTAGTTCCCTTCACTGTTCTGTTCATGTCTCCTTAAAACATTTTACTTGGTATTCAAGTTATGAGACTGATGCAGGTCAGGTCAGAAACTAAAATCTTAGCACTAATGGGGATAAATCCAGACTGCAATTTTCACAAACAAATGCCCCAGCCCCGACCCTAAAACTTGAACCACCTTGGTTGTGTGCATCTTTTACTGTCAACACTATCAGTAGTAGACATGTGACAAATCACAGCCTTCTTAGAGGCCTGTGGCCTTCTCCTCTGAAAAACCACTGGCAGGAAAATGACAAGAAGAAGATTTTATGATTATAGCACGGCAAATGGGACCCACAGTATCCCAAACTGAAACACATGCAACTACAGTAAGTGAGGAACTCTTTAGATGGCAGTGACACAGCAGGCATAATATGCTAGCCCCATTAAAAAAAAATTCAATTGCCACTTTATGATGATGTGGTTAACATCATCCTGGCTAACTTTACTTCCTACATTTTCTGGTATCTTTAGTTTAGGTCTGCCTGGGAGATAAGGTCAATAATTGTGAAAAAAATCTATTTAGGTGCAAATTTTAATCCAAGACCATTGTATGAACAGGCCAAAAAAAAAAAAATGCAACTATGTATAGAAATAACAACAAAAGTGAACCTTATGAATGCATAGCCTTTATCCTTGAAAACACGCACTTCCTGGATGGTGCCATACTGGGAAAATGTCTTTCTCATCAGCTCATCTGTTATATGAGAAAAAAAAAATGCATTTTTTTAATTATTATTAACATGTTAAAAATGAAATGTGACAAGTCAAGTAGTCAACTCAGTACCAACCAGTTGGACAGAAACTGAAAAACTAAAACGGCATCTGACCACACTCCATCAATCAATCAATGAATCAATTTGCATGTCCTTTACAAAACATTACTTTCTTCACAGCATGCCTAAAAGTGACCACCCTATGCTGATGAAAAAAAATTTTTTTTTTTTTTAAATGATCCACTTAGTAATTTTGTCTAAATTTTCCTCAGCTTGGATTTCAAATAACCAACATGGCATCTGACCCTGAGCGTGATTTCAAATAACCAACATGGCATCAGACCCTGAGCGTGATTTCAAATAATCAACATGCCATCTAACCCTGAGCGTGATTTCAAATAATCAACATGGCATTTGTGATTTCAAATAACCAACATGGCATCTGACTCTGAGTGATTTCAAATAATCAACATGGCATCTGACCCTGAGCGTGATTTCAAATATTCAACATGGCATCGGACCCTGAGCGTGATTTCAAATAATCAACATGGCATCTGACCCTGAGCGTGATTTCAAATAATCAACTTGGCATCTGACCCTCAGCATGATTTCAAATAATCAACATGGCATCTGACCCTCAGCGTGATTTCAAATATTCAACATGGCATCTGAACCTGAGCATGATTTCAAATAATCAACATGGCATCTGACCCTCAGCATGATTTCAAATAACCAAAACAGCGCCCATCTATTAGCAGATTTAAAAAAAATCAAAATAACATCTTACCATACCCACTATGCTGCTGAAAAAAAAAATTACTGAAAATAATTTATCAGGTTGTCTTGTCCAGCTTCTCTCTTCCAGCAGTTTTATTTAATCAACAAAGCATCTGACCCCTGGCATTGTTTTTTTTTTTATAACGGACATAGCATCTGACCCCTAGCAGTTTTAAATAACCAACACAGCATCTGACCCCTAGCATGATTTTAAATTTGCAACATAGCATCTGATCCCTAGCATGATTTTAAATTTGCAACATAGCATCTGATCCCTAGCACGGTTTTAAATTAGCAATATAGCATCTGACCCCTAGCAGTTTTAAATAACCAACACAGCATCTGACCCCTAGCATGATTTTAAATTTGCAACATATCATCTGACCCCAGCATGATTTTAAATTAGCAATATAGCATCTGATCCCTAGCACGGTTTTAAATAACTAAAACAGCATCTGACCCTTAGCATGATTTTAAATAAGCAACATAGCATCTGACCCCTAGCACGGTTTTAAATTAGCAACATAGCATCTGACCCCTAGCACAGTTTTTGAATAACCAACATAGCATCTGACCCCTAGCACAGTTTTTGAATAACCAACATAGTGTAACGAAATATAGGCAGAAAGGGGTTAAATGAACAAGCATACATTTCAGACCACCACACGGCGTACTAATCCATCACTGTGTGAAATGACAGAATGGGTGATTAGAAAGCCATGGCCTAGCCAGCTATGCAGAACACACCGCCATGAAATCTGACAGTGAGGGATGAAACATTCGACGAGTGCCCGTGAGCTGTGACCAACTGACGAGATACGTTCATCCAAACGTGACCACCAAGGACAGGTGACAGGGAAGTGATTAAGATGGTACGCCAGGAGGAGCGGGAAAGCGGTGGAATAAAGTCAGAGCCAGGGGCTTGAGAAGTTAGTTAGTCCCGGAACCGCTGGAGAGGACAGTTAGTCCCGGAACCGCTGGAGAGGACAGTTAGTCCCGGAACCGCTGGAGAGCACAGTTAGTCCCGGAACCGCTGGAGAGGACGGTTAGCCCCGGAACCGTCATGAGAAGACAGTTAGGGCTAGACCGCTAGAGAAACCGGTTAGGAGAAAACTTGTGCTGTACTTCGTTAGAAGGTATATGTTAAACTTGGAGTTTAGCTAGAACAGTGAGTTAGTCCCGGAACCGCTGACTGTGGGGTGACCTAGCCAGCATAGTTTTTAAATAACCAACATAGCATCTGACCCCTAGCACAGTTTTTAAATAACCAACATAGCATCTGACCCCCAGCACAGTAACAACCAACACAGCACCTGACTACATTTACATAGATGATGAAATAAATTTAGTGTAGAAAAAAAAAAGACTGATCACGTTATCTAACTCCATCCATAGCACAGATTTATATTCAACCTGCACACTTACACGGCTGGGTGCTGAATATGGGCACCCCACACTCCGGACTTAATTTTAATAAATATTAATGATTATCATTTCTAATACAGGTTTATTAAGAGCAGGCACATTAGCTTCATAGAGCTTCTATAATTATGGCTTCCAACTTTCTTCTCCCTGACATCTTAGCCGTATAATCAGATTGTTTTCAAGTCCCAGGAGAGACAGTTTCATTGATTTTTGTGTACCCTGGTTACTTGATTTCGTCTCACTTCCACCCCACCCGCTTTTTTCGTCAGTCAAGTGAAAATATGTTTTTAAACTCATGAAGGCAATTTCAGAAGGGCGATTTTATCAGGAAGTTGAAATCGATGCATGCGACAAAACAAGCATTATTGTCTTAGCAGCTTCACAGTTCCAATGCAGGTTTATGACTTTATTATAGTAAATGAACTAACAATAACAACCACATAATCTGTAAAAAAAACAGTATTAAAATTCCCTTTTCTCTACTGTGAGATGTTACAGGCATATGATGCCACATCATATTTAATAGACTAATCACTATATGAGGAGTGATGTAATCTATGTCATGCTAGCCAACTTTATATCCCTAGTCATTTCTAGGCTAAGTCGAAGTGAGTGTTTATAAAAAAAAAAAAAAAAAAAATCTGCCTTGAAATGGATTCAGATCAATGGTCTTCCCTCACTGTCACAGTACATCTGCCTGAGACAGGGAACAAGAACTGCTTACAAGGAAGTCAGTAAAACAGATTTACACCCAACACTCAGGTCCTGGCACAAGGCCAAAGTCCAAATGAATGAACAGCCAGGACTTTCTGCAGTAATTCACAGCTGGTGAACGCTAAGAAGAAGCAGAAGATCAATGGTGGTGTATTCATATGTATTATACATATAAGATTGTTCCTATTACAGTTATTATCCCTGTGTGAGTTCTGGGACCAGATTATGGGGAAAACAAGAATACACCCACTGCTCGGCCTACAAGCATATCACAGGAGTCAACTAACTGGGAGCTTCCTTCAAAACTGGAGCGCATCTGTCTGACAGAAATCAACAGTTAGCGTGCTGATAAGCTAGATCTGTCAAACGCATGTGCAAGCAACACTCTTGTTTTTGAACAAAACTAAAGTCCAGAGGTGGATAAATGACCAGAACTTTCTGCCAGAGTTTACAAACGGTGAACAAGAGGAAAAAAAAAAGATACAGCCCATTAAAGTGGAAATACTGGCCTGATACTAAAATTTATGACCCAAGCAAGCTGGCTCTGTGCTTGAAAATGGCACAAATAGGGAAATCAAATAAAGCTGGTTATGTCCAAGTATTCAACAAAATGCCAATTTACCATGCTAAACAAAGTAACATTATAGTCACTTCGTATCCACACAAAAACCAGGTTGCTGATCTTCTGCAAAGTATGTCTAGCCTCTGATAGATGAAAGTGGAAGTGTGTAGGTAGGTAGAGGAGATAAAGCTGTGTTTGTGGTTAAGCTTGAAAAGAGTATGGTTATGTCTAAGAAATGTAGTGAGAGATGAGAGTGAGCGAGTGAGTGGGTGGGTGGGTGAGAGAGAGAGAGAGAGAGAGAGAGAGAGAGAGAGAGAGAGAGAGAGAGAGAGAGAGAGAGAGAGTGTGTGTGTGTGGGTGGGTGAGAGAGAGAGAGAGAGAGAGGGGGGGGGGGCCTGGTTGTGGTAAAGACATAAAATTTAAAGGTGAAAGGATTTTTGGTCTGAAAAAGTGAAAATTTACACAAGAATAAGTTGAACAGGAAAACGGAGAGGACAACGAGAATAATGTGTCTAATACAGTCTCAGTTCTGTTATTTTCCATAAGTCACCTCAAAACAAACATATGCACACTAGGAAACATTTCCAACCTCGTTTTGGGGGCAGACCACAGAATGACACTTGTCTCCCCCAATAAACATACAATTTTATTTAACTGAGCTAATCCAGAAGCTAATTGCTTACGTACCTGTCAGCCCATTGGCCACACCTCCGCAGTAGACGGTGCAGTTGGTAGAGCTGGACTGATTGTACACTTCATCGTAAATAAGTGGCTTTGTGTCTGGTAGGGGGGAAAACATACAATAGATTAAAAAAATAATAATAACTACCCTGGACAAAGGTAAATATTATAGTTCCCACACGCACACACACAAAATAATTTACCACAAACAACTCATACCAAGGCACCCTATTGTTAGTTACTGTGTCTAGCTCACCACATATCCTTCCCATTGTTTCTTAATCGCTCTCTCTCTCTCTCTTTCTCTGTGTGCGCGTATGCATTAGTGCATGTGTTTGCTCCTTTGACCCTGTTGGTTCCAATTCAAGGACATTCTAGTTAAATGTTATCAGGTTTTCTCAACATGTGTCCTATCCAAAACCAGCATCTTTTCCACACCTCTTGATTCAGTAAAGTTTGTTTTATTTAGTGGCTGCATCTGAGAATTATCTTAACTGCACTTAAAATAATCAATTAGTGCTTTAAACTTCCTCCAGTTTTAATGTCACGGGCATCAGGAGGTCCTCACAAACTAGGACTGGAAAGCATTCAAATATTTGTAGGCTAGAATAATTTCCTTAAAAGAACTACTAAACTAAAAAAAAATTTAATTCTAATGTCAAATCAGTGCTGTTGTATGGGGTGGAAACATGGAGAACTACTAAGACAATTACTAATCAATTAGAATACAGGGAATTAAATGGTATGATAGAATAACTAATGTAGAGCTTTGGGAGAGAACTAAACAGGCTCCAGTGGACCAAGAGGTGAGGAAAAGACGCTGGTGTTGGATAGGACACACACTGAGAAAACAAGAGAACGGCATAACTAGAATGTCTTTGCATTGGAACCCACAGGGGCATAGGAATAAAGGAAGGCCAAAAAACACATGGAGAAGAGAGCTGGAGAATGAAGTTAGAAAGATGGGGAGGACATGGGGAGAGCTCCTTGCAATGGCAAAGGATAGAATGACTTGGCGTGAGTTGGTTGAGGGCCTATGCTCCATTGGGGGATAGAAAGGCAGAAGAAGTAGGAGAAGAAGAATTTCCACTTGCTTTCAGTATTCAGTTTAAGGGTAAGGTTTCTCATTTAGAAATTAAACCAGCAAAGTGGCTTATCAGAAACTATCTCTAACAGCTGAGGACAGTTTATCGATGAAAGCTGTCATGTGATCCACTGCTGAGACTGTATTACAATCTGATTATACAGCTGAGATGTCAGACAGTCATCAATATATTTATTTTCCACTGCAGTTTTTCTATTAACAAGTTTACTGTTGTTATTGATTCAGCCACCTCTGCAAATTTACTCTAGACCCAGCAGTAGTACCTTCAAATGTTTTATTCTTCTAACTGCTGCTTTGTCGCACAGACATTGATTAGGCCTTGGAGGCTGACAAGTTTTTCTTATATATATTTCTAGGCAATAAAGAAAAGGTTGATGGTAACATTTTGTAGGTGTGTACACACATCAAAAATTCTGACAATGCTATTGACTACTCATTTCTGTTAGTCGTTCAAACAGATCTGTATTAAGCAATACTGAATTACTGGACATATTGTTACAACACTTTATGTTGCAATAATTGCAGGGGTTCAGGAAAAGGAGCTTAGAACTAAATTTAATAAATAAGTATCATACAAAGAAAATAAAACCCACAACATATAGCAGAGGTATTAGACAAAGGAATAAGAACTAGAACATATCAGGCAAGTTAACAGGCAGATAAGAGAAATGAGAATGACATTAAATTAGATAAGTATCTGAGAAAGGAAATTAGAACTACAACATATCAGGCAAGTATATGAGAAAGGAATGAGAACTACAACATATCAGGCAAGTATCTGAGAAAGGAATAACAACTACAACATATCAGGCATGTATATGAGAAAGGAATAAGAACTACAACATATCAGGCATGTATATGAGAAAGGAATGAGAACTACAACATATCAGGCAAGTATCTGAGAAAGGAATAAGAACTACAACATATCAGGCATGTATATGAGAAAGGAATGAGAACTACAACATATCAGGCAAGTATCTGAGAAAGGAATAACAACTACAACATATCAGGCATGTATATGAGAAAGGAATAAGAACTACAACATATCAGGCAAGTATCTGAGAAAGGAATAACAACTACAACATATCAGGCATGTATATGAGAAAGGAATAAGAACTACAACATATCAGGCAAGTATCTGAGAAAGGAATGAGAACTACAACATATCAGGCAAGTATCTGAGAAAGGAATAAGAACTACAACATATCAGGCATGTATATGAGAAAGGAATGAGAACTACAACATATCAGGCAAGTATCTGAGAAAGGAATAACAACTACAACATATCAGGCATGTATATGAGAAAGGAATAAGAACTACAACACATCAGGCAAGTATATGAGAAGGGAATGAGAACTACAACATATCAGGCATGTATATGAGAAAGGAATGAGAACTACAACATAGCAGGCAAGTGTCTGAGAATGGAAATCAGAGTTGCAGTGTATTAGGCAAGTATCAGGGGGAAAAAAAAAGAGAGAAATGAGAACTATAGAAAAAGGAAATGAGAACTACAAGATAGTAAGTAAAGTTTACCTCCAGACTTACTTTCTTTGACTATGGGAGCAGGTGGCTTCCTTGTGGCCCAGTTGGTTCTGATTGGCCGTGTGCCTAACCACTGATTGTTCATATTGTTGATAGCCGCTTCTGCATCCTGTCAGGGATAAAAGTTATTTAGTCACATGTTTAGTCTATAAAAAAAGAACAAAAGTCATTTAGTCACACAATAAGTCCTTAAAATTTGGATACAAGTAATTTAGTCACATGTTAAGTCTATAAAAATAGGACAAAAGTCATCTTGTAAATAGTTAAGTCTGAAAAAAAAAATAGGAGACAATTAATTAAGTCACATGTTAAGTCTATAAAAATAGGACAAAAGTCATCTTGTAAATAGTTAAGTCTGAAAAAAAAAATAGGAGACAATTAATTAAGTCACATGTTAAGTCTGTAAAAATAGGACAAAAGTCATCTTGTAAATAGTTAAGTCTGAAAAAAAAAATAGGAGACAATTAATTAAGTCACATGTTAAGTCTATAAAAATAGGACAAAAGTCATCTTGTAAATAGTTAAGTCTGAAAAAAAAAATAGGAGACAATTAATTAAGTCACATGTTAAGTCTGTAAAAATAGGACAAAAGTCATCTTGTAAATAGTTAAGTCTGAAAAAAAAAATAGGAGACAATTAATTAAGTCACATGTTAAGTCTATACAAATTAGGACACAAGTCATCCAGTTAAATGGTAAGTCTATAAAAATAGGACAAAAGTAATTTAGTCACATGATGAGTCTATAAAAATTAGGACACAAGTCATTTAGTCACATGTTTAGTCTATAAAAATAGGACACAAGTCAGTCATTTAGTCACATGTTAAGTCTATAAAAAATAGGAGTCCAGCATGTTATGCCCAATGCACAATCATTTTTGTTTAATATTTTTTTTTAATTTAACGATAAATTTATTGTCTTGGTCAACATATGAACAGAAGTAATATGATCAGTGTCACATACCAGCTGTCATAAGACTTTGCAGGTGGTGAAAGTCACATGGAAATTTTACCCAGGCCCTGCAGACTTGTTGTCTAGGAATGAGCAAGGAAATACACTAACTAGACTGGCCCCCAGTGGAGGAACAGAAAAAAAAAAGTGTGTGGGGGGGGGGGTGGGGGGGTGGGGGGGGGGGGGGGGGTACTGCATATGTACAAGACAGAGGTGATCACTGACCTGTCTTTGAGATAACAAGTACAATGGAGGATACTGAAAATCCACGTGTCTGAAAAATGTTGAAGCGGTAAGTGTATTGTGGGGGGGGGGGGGGTGTGCACAAGATGTAGAAGACAACAATGAGAACCATCAGTACAGAGACTCCTTGCTGGATGTTGAGAAGGGAGATGGAGTTAATGGCTTCTCCTGATGGCTATGATATTGAATCTTTACTAAGATGGCCCAGATGTCATAAGACCTCTGCTATGAGGCTGGAAAACTCAGTACTTCAACCATCTTCACTTCATCATCACATCCCTGGTACTTATATAATGAAGTATAGAACCTCAACCTTTACCAGCCCTATTATCATGTACTTTTTATTTTTGCCTATGTCTTGCCCATCTGATAAAACCTGTATCTCTTCCAAATGTTTTAATGCTCCATTTATGTCATCTGTCTTGTGGATTCCAGAAGAGAGACTTTATAGTTACCTTATTCCCTAGTTTTGTCAGTGCGTGTTTAGTTATATCCAGTAGGAAGGTAGGTAGCTGTGCCCCACCAGGACATCACACAAGCGATATACACTGGGTGATGTGGATGAGGATCACCCGTGGAGAGGTTCCAGAAACCCTTTTCAGCGATTAGGCCATATCTATGCCCTGGCTTGGCTATATTCAGGGCACCCGGCAGAAGCCAGGGATGGGCTTTAAACACAATTATTGCATCCCACATGGAGATCACTTTCAAGACTATATCCAGTAGACAGCTGTGGCTGTTTATATTACTATAATCAACCAACAATTTCTACATATTAAAAGAAAAAAAATATACCAGTTTATTATATTAAATTTATGATCTTGGAAATAATTTTTTAGACAAGTTTCTTTGCTTTTTTTTTTAAATATTAAAAAAAAATTTTTTTTTTTTTAACCTGAATTACAATATGATGATGATGATGATAAAGAAGATTATGCAATTATTCAGATAGTAAAGAGAATTAGCAAGCTCCTTATGAAAAGGACTTTAAAAGTAATGCCTTCCTAATTACTGCCACTCTTTTACCCTCTCTCTCATTCTAGTGCTTCCAAAGGTTTTTCTATTCTTCTATTTTTCATTTAGACACACCAGTAGCAATTTTTTTTATCCTATCCCCAAATCACACAGCAGATTTCACATTTGGGTTTTCCATCTTCTAACTGGACAGCCTGCAGCAAAAGGAATACCACATTTTTTGGACTAACAAGAGTGGGAAATATTTTGTGGGGAAAAAATATGAAATCTTACTAAAACCAGTCATACAATTAATTTGTGAGCAATGAATGAGACGGTTTGGCCATCTAATACGAATGCTATGTACTAACAGTCAAAACAAAGAAATGTAATTATAATGAAAACACAACAGATGAGATGGTTTGGACATTTAACATGAATGCCATGTACTAACTAACAGCCACAATGAGGAGATAAATAAACATACAATAGACCAGATGGTTTGGCCATCTGACATTAATGTCAGGAACAAATAGCCCCACTCAAGAAATATAATGAAAACACAACAAATAAGATCTAACATGAATGTTATGAACTAACAGCTACAATGAAGAGATAAATGAACACACAACAAGTGAGATGATCTGGTCATCTGACATGAATGCCCTTCACCAACTGCCACAGAGAAACGGAACTCATAAAGTGATAAATGGGATGAGGTCCGCGTAGTGAGGTAGTTAGGCCATTTACTACAAGATTGTGGGCTCATTTCATGGACTGCATCGTTTGGTTCAAGACTTTAATTTTTAGGGGACCCTTGACATTGTTGCTGGAGCTACAGAGTTCATGCTGTATGCAGCATTCTAAGCAGGCAGCTGGCTATTCTGTGGAGAAAGACCAGAACAAACCAAACGGGATAAAACCTGATGCAATTAAGTCGATCCTCTTGGTACATTTAAAAAAAGAACTGGGTTCACAAGGAAGAATTCCTCATATGGGTTCTGAGCCCCATTTGGGGTTATGGCTGAGGGGTGGGGGGGGGGGGGATGGTGGTCCATCCCTTACAAGTATGTCATAAAAGGTAACAAATAAGAAGTCTGCTGTAACAGGATGTGTTTGGCCGAAAGGTGTAAATCGCATCCTAGCTGTAAATCTCAAAACATCGCACCAAAAAGATAAAGAAGAGCTTATCATATGAAACATTATCTGAGTTCAGGAACATTATAGCATACCTGTTTGTTTACGAATGACACAAAACCATATCCTCTGGACTTCATGGTGGCAGGATCACGGATGATTTTGCAATCTCTGCAAGAAAGAAACATTGCCAGAGTAATAAAAATAAAAATAAAAATAAAAAAATAACAGTTCAGCTTCCAATATCCTCTAACAAGAAAGAACAGGACTCCAGTTATCTCCAAAGCAGTATCCTGTATTGAAACTCAGATTTCAATCAACATTATTGTCGTAAACTGTAACACAGAAAGTGCAGTGCACCTGTCAAGAGACAGCTTGAGAAATCTTACAAAGACTGCCAGATTGTGAAACAAATTCAGAACTGTAATAAAAGACCAATATAAATGCAAAATAAGACACGAATGCTGAAGAACTAAAAAATTAAAAACAAGACATGCAAGCTAAAAATAAAAAATAGAAATTTTTAATTTTAAAATCATCATTTTAACATACTTCTGTCAACTGCAGCTGAAAACAATCAATTATAAAATAAAAAAATAAAAACTGTCATGCTACACTAACTGCTAGAACACAGACATGTTCTGTTTACAAATAACCGCTAACAATTTGTTAACATCAATTTAGCTCTATTTCTGTACAATAATCAATTAAAAACACATTATGGGGATTTCTTTGGTTTTTAGTAAAAGATGCAAGAGACAGGAAAATGAGAAAGTACATCGCATAACCATGTACAAGTTTTGGGAATGAATTCTGAAGATGCATTAGAAAGAATTTTTAAGCTCTGGAGTTGAAAACAAACATTTATTAACTGGCACAATGGCGGAAGTGAGTAAATTCAATGAATGCTAGAATTAATAAAGTGGAGCTTGGTAAGACTAAGCAAATTTGAGAGAATGAAGAGGTGAGGAAAGATGGTGGAACCAGATGTACATACCTAAGAAAGCATGAGAACCATAAAACTAGAATGTATTTGTACTGGAACTAACAAAATCAACGGCATAAAGGCAGACCCACCCAAAAAAAATGCATGGAGAAAGTAGCTAAACAGGCAGTTGAAAAAATGTGGAGGACATGGGGTGAGCTGCGAGTGATAGCTAAGAATAGGATCACTTTGTGTGAGCTGTTTGAGAGCCTATGTTCTGAAGTTGCACATAGATAGAAGAAGAAAGTATTTCTTGTTTTAGCCACTCAGGTTAATATCATCTTTGTGTCAGAGAAAGCAGTAAGCCATCTTACACATTGATCCTTATAAAATGCTTATGATCAGCTTGGGAAGGATGATAGGAGGAGAATCAGCACTGAATCAATACTGAACTTTATAGACAACATATCAAATGGTTTGGCCATGTAACAAGATTGGCATACGACAGGGTACCAGAGAGAGCAATGTTATATAGATACAGCAGTAAAAGAACCAGATGTCAACCATGCATTCCAGGAGTAGAGAAAAAAAGAAGAAGAATCCTTATGTGAAAGGAGTTATTTCATAAGACAATGTTTAATCACCACAAGGCAACAGAATAGAATCTATGCAGAATGCTGCTTCCATCACAGCCTACCAAAAAAGACTCTTAATGCCTTCCAGTCCTGTTTTTTTTTTCCAATTACTACAATACTATATACATTTATCAACCCACTGATTGGTTAATTCCCTCCAGGTTGTGACCTTAATGTTTACCATAACATCCTCAGATTTTTAAAATCTCAATCTGGACGGCAGACCAACAAGGCACATCCCAGATACCCCCGGAGGAGGAGAAGAAGAAATGGGACAATGGGATGTACTGGACTGAAAGGCACAAATATTGCAGCCTATCTGTAAACAAGATATTGCAGCTTATCTGTACGCAACAATACATTTTGCCAACCAAACTTTTAAGAGCAATCGAAACAGAAGAAGAAGAAGAAAAAAAGAAGAAGGAGGAAAAGGAGGAGGAGAAAAGAAGAAGAAGAAGAAGAAAGTTTAAAGTTGGATGCTTGTGGCATGCACAGCTACCATCCGCCTCCACCATCTTTGGCAGTGTGTTACTCTGTCATTATTCTGACCAAATACGTGTCCATGGCAATGAAAGCAGCTGACTATTTGACTTTGTAAGCACCCACAGCGGCTGTCTCAATATGGATACTGGAATCAATACCCCAGTCTGACCATGATCAGTTAGTTACACTGGGATGCCACTGGTACTAATGAATTAATGCAGCACAGGCTGTCAAGCTTGCTGCCAGGGTTAGGGACATGGAAGACAATCAGCAGGTGCTTTTGCTGCTAATGTACAGTAGGAATAATCAGCTCCTATTTAATCAATAAGTTGACATCTCCATGTTAATTAGTTAGGGTGGTTAGTTACAACAAATTGTCTCTTGCGCTGGTTTGTGTGTTGGGACAGATAGATGTCTGTTTATCTCTCAATGTTAACTTCCACCTGTATCAAAGTCCATTTTTTGCTCACCTGCATTCAACCAACCCTAGTATGACTTTGATTGGAGTGCTTTGTCTTTTAATATCGCTGAACTAATTCCCATGTCTCCTTTTTTATTTTACTTCTTTTATTAGCTCTTTTTTAATGATCAGCTTCTCTTGAAATTGTTTTTACTTCTGTGACATTGGATACGTTATTCTAGAAACCCACATTCAACTTGTTCACTGTCCAGGTGTCTACACCATAATGCACTGTTTAATATGTATAAAAACTGTTGCGTATCCTTTACAAGATGTTGCAGAACAAGCTCCAGCATTTTTTGGCTGTTGTGGGTTTTTCTTGGCAAATTTTACATTCAGTAGTTTGCCATGGCTTTGTGAACGGTCAACGCTCCGTACCCCTGTTGAAACCAATGCAAGACACATCGTTCGCAGCTGGGATCAAACCCCGCAAATTCGAAACTAACAAAACATCACGCCTTTGGCACTTCCCCCTGAAGTACTTCTTCCTTGCACACAGTCGCCTTCAGCGCCTCAGACCTAATCACAACATATTTCAGAACTGGCACTCATTTACACACAAAAGAGTAGTGAAAAGAAAGGTCAACAGAGATTGTGCTGACAGCGAAGGAAGATATCTCATAACACCCCTACAATATAGAACAGCCCATGGAAATCAATCCGAAATAACACAGCCGAATGAGATGAGCTAATAATCATGAGTTGTGCTCTGTTTTCTACTACATTCTCCGTTTATACTGTATGTATCTTATTACTGTTTCTCCAGTATAGTACATTTGATCAAAAATTTCTCACAGTGTATATGTAGGTTACAATGGTATATACTTTAAATAGTCCAAGATTGAGAAAACAAAATACCATGTGGCAATGACACACTAGCAAGAAACCAAAATATACCCACTTCAACTGTAGAGACAGATTCATGAATACTTTATTATCTTTAAAAAAAAAAACACACACATATATATCGACACAGCCAAAAAAAACATGTTGCCATGCATGCCTTTAAAACAAGAAAATAGACATAATAGTAAGGCAAAATGAGCTGCCACACATATCTTTATACCTTTAAAACAAGAACATAGGCACAATGGTAAGGCCAAATGTAGTAACGCACAATAACAAAAAATACAGGCACAAAGTTAAAGAAAATGTTGCCACACATACCTTCATACCCTTAAAGCAAAAACATGGATGGGTACAGTAGGCATAAATCTGTTGCCACACATACCTTTATGTCTTAAAAGCAACAAAAACATCAAAAGCACAGTGGCAAGGCAAAAGTTGAAAATGCTTCTCTTTGTGGATAACATTAAATTTGAGATACACCTTAATTATTCCATACATACTGCTATTACAAGCAATGTGAGCCTTTATTATGCTTTTGTTCCAGCACTTAGTGAAGAAACAAACACTTCACAGCTGACTGAAATTAAAAGTATTGCAAACAAGAGATCTATGAAAGCCAGAATATCTTCTTCCCTCAAACACACACAATCTGTAACACAACAACAGAAGGATCACCAGCCAGTACTTACGAAATTTCCCCATAAGCAGCAAAGGCATCTCTGAGCTGGTGCTGCTCAATGTCAGCACTAAGGTCTCCCACAAACACATGGAAGTGTTCTGAAGAAGAAATAAAAATCACCCAAAAATATACGTCATCGTTTTGTCCTGATTTTAACAATTCACTGCTTCCTTCCAAAGGGGAAAGGGGGGTAGCAGCAGCTGTGGATTTCTTTAAAAGACAACAGGTTAAATGGTTTGGCCGTATAAGGCAGATGTAAGCAGACAGTATACCACAGCAGGTAATGAGGTACAGACCAGTTGGAAAGTAAAAAGAGGCTGACCATGCAAGTGATGGGACAGAGGGAATTACTGAGTCCATGGGAATCCCAATTTATGAAGCACAGAAGCTGGATGAGACTGTTTCCTTCTTTATATATATTTATATATGAGCTACTTCTAAGACTGAAAAGAATATAACATGATTTACAAGAAACCAATGCAGAGGTTATTTCCACTGTGATAATACAGACAGTGACCCGTTTGCTATGAAGCTGAAACAGATTACCAAGTAAGCGACAACAGTAAATAATCAATAAAGGGCTAGTAACAAATGTGAGCAACAAAATCCTACACTGGAGAATAACTGCAGTAAGCGGTGTAGAGCAACCACAGTGGATGGTGTAGACGGACTGCAGCATGTGGTGCACAACAGAAGAATACCATGGACTGCAGAAAATTAGTGAGGCAGTCATTAAAAAAACATTTAAAAAACTCACATGCTGAGAATCAAGAACTGTTCAGCAACTAAGACGAAATACACAACTCTTTCAGTTCCAGGGGATTCAGCGTCAGAGACTCAGGTGGTAGTAAATAAAGAGAAACCCTCCAAAAAATCACCGCTGCTTCCATTTATTGGGCTTCTAGGTGAGAACCGCTAAGCATATAATGCATTTCTTGGGACTGACAGAGTGTTAACAACAGGTAGTAATCATGAGGTGACAGAGCAGGGAAAAGCTTCTTCTTTGGCATTCACCCTTAAAATGGGCGGTTAGCATGTTGTTTACAGTTTACAGGCTAGGGTGTGACACATGTGTTTTTTTGGCCAAACGCATCTGATTTCAGAAAAACTCTGATTAGTTGCCTTTTGTGACATGCTTGTTAGGGGACAGGGGGTCTATTCTCTTCATCTCCTGCCTTCACCCCCTGTCTGCCCCAAAGGGGGCCCCGAAACCCACACAAGGAGGGTAGAGGCTAAATACCAAGATGGCATGGTCATAACTGGAACAGGAACACTGAAATCTGAAACACTAATCACGCAGATGACAAACCTACTCATAATAAACGGCATGGCATATAATGATGATGATGATGATGATGATGCATATACTCTGGTTTTGTTTCAAACCGTTTTATTTACACATTACACACACAAACACACACAGACACACACGCGCGCGCACATACAATATATTTTCATATATTTAATCTATCTCATTTTATATATCTCACTTTCTACATCTCATGTGCCCCTCATCATCTCCCTAGAGATTGCCATCATATCCCCCCCAACGATCTGATACTCGATTTCATGAATGATAAATCAGAAGATTCTTCAAAATGCTGTGATTTCAATGTGAAACCTCACATGACAAAACTGTGAAAACTTGCCACAATCGTATTCTAAATCTGCCTCCTCCTCCTCTCCCCGAGCCATGGATGCCAACTGAAATATGCATGAAGACAGCAGCCGCCAGCCTCAAAATGACATGCATATTTTCTCAGTAATGGCTTCTGCCGCAGTTATTACACTTCCTCTGCTAACCACAGGCCATTTCTTTAGTAAATGTTCTGCATTTTTAAAAAACATATTTGATTGAAGGGGGGGGGGGGGGGGGGAGAATAACTAGTCACTCTGCTGTTGATGTTGATGGTTAAGGAGTTGGCAGGCCCAAAAAAAAGAAGAAACTGATAGCCAGGTTGTTAGAAGGCTATAGAGGACTGCGGCTGATCTTATCACAGCAGAGGACAATAATCAATTATGTGTGAGAGAACAAGACCCCCACCCCAATGGCTCAGCATGGCGGAAAATGATATCTGTGTGAATTTAATTAACAGAGCATTAGCAGTTTTTCTTCGCACACTTCTTCCCCATGTGGGTTGTGTGGGGTGGGCGTGTGTGTGCAGACCCAATGCCCCTTAACAAGCATGTAATAAGAGTCAACAAATTTCGAATGTTTCTTTTGAAGTCAGAGCACATGAGTCAGGCACGGAACCAACAGTCTGCATACAAATAAGCCGGACCAGCCAGCAAAAATGGATGTACACCAAAAACGCAAGTTCTGGAACAAACCCAGGGCCCTTATGTTGTCTGAATCTCCATGCCCAACAACACCAGTTGGTCGACGGAATTTCTGGAACCAGCCTCTACTGGCTTTAAAATTCATCAACGCTAGCATCACTTGTATTCGGCGTTAGTGGCTCGTCAACACTATCGCCAGCAAACTGCTTATCATAATCCAAATTAACAATTTTCTTCTTCTTTCGTTCGCTTGAAATAGATTATATCTTCAATGTTGTCTCTAGTATGAACTTCACTGTCTTTTGTAATTCACTCAGCAAGCTGTTGACTTGCACCGATGTTTCTCTTAGCCAAAAGTTTTGCCTTGATATGTTGTGAATATTCTTCTAACACTATGGCCAGTGGCTCTCAGCCTTCCTAATGCCACGACACTTTAATACAGTTCTTTGTGAACCACCACCGCCCCCTCCCCTCCCCCAACATTATTTTCGTTGCTACTTCATAACTTTAATGAATATGTTTTCTGTGATGGTCTCTGACGATCCCTTTGAAAGGGTCGTTTGGACCCCAAAAAGGGGGTCGCAACCCACAGGCGGAGAACCGCTGTTATAGACCACTGCTTCATTAGCATAGTCGCTCCTTTAGTCATATCAGCCGTCTGTAGTGCGATCCGAATCATGGCACTAAAGCCATGTTTATGCGTTCGTGTGACGGAGTAATGTTCGTGTGACGGGTCAATGTTCGTGTGATGTGGGCAATGATCCCGAGCGGTTTTTAAATGTGTCCGGAAACTGTTCTTGGGCCAATTTGTTCCTGACTAGATGCGCTTGTTACCACATTGATGCCTTCCGCTGGCTTGAGATTTAGCAGAACACACCTGTGGTTATTGTAACTGACCCAGATGATGACAACACAGAGTAGCAAGCATCGCTTCAGAGGTCCTGGGTAGTTAGCATCCTTTGGATATTTTCTCCAAGTGATGCCGGTGTATTGAGAAACAAGTAGGCATACAGACTGCGCCACTTGGTGGTGAACTCCTGTATGTTAAGCTAAATATTGTGAGGGCCCTTTGGGAGCGAGTTAAGAGTGCGGAGACACAAAGAAATCGTCACGGTCTGAGGGAAATAGCGCTGCGAGGAGTTACCAGGGAATCTGGCCGACGTTCAACACTCAAGGGGAAGGCGAGGCGGATATACAATCAGACAATTACTGGTGCCATCGGAATCGGATCTCTTCGCTTGCTGCTGAAGAAGAGGACGGAGCGCTTATAGGAGTGCCTCGAGTGCTGTGATGTCTCGATTCTTAATTCAACATTTTAGCTGTAACATTCATTGTCATTCGTAATTGTACTGTTGTGAAGCAGACTAATTCTACTCCTCATTCTGGTTAAGAAGGTTTAATATGATTCCCAATCTGCCCATCTGTAGTACCCATTAAGCACCTCCACGGTTACCCATCCCATCTCATTATATCTGAAATTACTCAATTACCTACACTTCATTATTTCTAAAATCACACAATTACCTATCTATTACATCGTTACCCTACCATCATCTGCTGGCACAATCTGTGTTGTCATCATTTCGCTCTGCCTTTACCCCACCGCTTCTCCCATTTCCAAGCATGCCAGTAAATTACTGGAAACTTAATAAAGAATTCAACTGCTAAAAGCTTTTGATGAATAGAGTGTTGATACTTTCATTAGGCTGATGGCCAGAGGGACAATACAAATGACTGATCCCATCCTCTCTGCTGATTGCATGATCTCCTGTACGATTGAGGGTGGAATTGCAATAATCAATTCTACTGTGAGTGAGTGTGTATGTTTTCCTGCCTGCTGATATCTGATGTTTCTTTCGGCCACCTGAGTATATATATTTATGATGTATGTTTGTGTGTGTGATGGGTGCGTGTGTGTGTGTGTGTGTGTGTGTGTGTGTGTGTGTGTGTGATGAGTGCGTGTGTGTATGTGATAAGTGCGTGCACGCGAGAAACACGTACGCGAGCGGACTCACACACAACTGAGTTAAAGCCTAACAATATATGGTGGCTCTTGCTGTGATGTTTGTGTGGTCCACTAAACTAACAATAACTCCCAGCTCTTCCTACGCGATCTTCTCTCTCTCTCTCTCTCTCTCTCTGTCTCCCTGTGTGTATGTGAGTATGTGAGTGCGTGCGCGTGTTGGTGGATGGAAAAAGGTAGAAGAAGACACGACCATAGAATATCAAAAGCTAGACTCCATGTAACTGTCAAATAAGCACAGTCTGATAATCAGGCAATATTTGTATTCTTAGTTCAAATTCCGAAGTCCACTTCTAGTCTTTGATAAGCGCAGTCCAGCTGCGACTCATTGCAGCCCACGGTCGGTGTTCAAAACCGGGAGGTTCCCGGGGTTCACCCAGCCTCTAGGAAATGGGTACTAGAGTTGACACTCTGGGGTAAATGGAGGAACGTCGCTGTTACCACAGAGTTACGTGCGGACGGCGAAACAAGCGGACAATTCTTATCAGCTGTCCGTACTAGTGGCAGAGCACTTATGGTTTATAACCGCGTGCAATGACGCTGGTTCACATCTCCCGACTTTATCTTTACCTTTTTGGTCTTTGTTCTTGTTCCAGAACCTGAGTTTTGCGTGCAAATCCGATTCATAAATCTGGTTTCTACATGTTACAGATTGTTGATTCCGCAACTCTCAGGCAGACGCACTCTGACTTTGATGGGAACAACCCTTAACTAGTCGCCTTGCACACATGCCTGTTAGGGGGGCAATGGCTCTATTCCCACACCTCCGGCCCCAAAAATGGGTTTCTCTCCCCC